AAAATATGCTCATAGTTAATGCCTAAAATTCCTTTATCAAAGCTCCCGCCAGCTTGCATACAAACTCTCTGAAACAAGCCAAGCTTTAAGCTATCATTTAAGTTATACCTTAGGTGAATGAGTATTTGGGGAAGGTTTTGGCAGGTGGAGATATCCTCTTTTCATGGGTATCAGACACATAACTTCTCATTGATGAGTCTGCTAGGTTAGTCAAGCAGTGACGGAGCCAATGTTGTCAGAGAAAAGAGGGGTCCCTATTCTGAGGAACTAGGGAAAGTGTTCCACCTTTGAAATCCAGCGTAAGCATTGCACCATTAAGAGGGGGCAGAAAAAAAAGCTCTGCTACCTCATGTCTTGGAGAAATAGGTCATACAATTGACTGTGCAGTGATGAGTTCGGGGAATGAAAGTCTTCTGTGGAAAGTCAGGCAAGCACAAAGCCAGTACGCACAGCAGTGAGGTGCTCAGGCTCCGGAGTCACACAGTTGAGCTCATGTGCTGCTCTTCCTCTTATTAACAGAGCTGATCTCTGTGAACCTCAATTTTGTCACCTGCAAAATGGGGGAATAATGCTTTGTAGGATTGCCCGAAGTACATTTTTTCCCCAGCCTCTCTCTTTGAAACTCACAATCCAAATTCTATTTTATACAAAATATTAACATAAAAAGAAAGAGGATATAAAAGTCACTTGCAGAAGCTTGCCTTTGTACAAATTTGTAGGCATCAGCATCTTGGTTTGTGTTTGACACACACCAAATATTTGGGGTGAAACATTGGAATACAAGGACTTTGTAGCTTTGCACATGGCCAAGAAAAGAGACAAGGGCACCAGGGTCCTGTGACTTTCACCCCAAGTGATACAGACAAAATAACAAGTAGGAATGAGGGCAGGTTTTACTTGGTCTCTCTCTTTCTCTGGTGGCTTTTGTGTGGTTTCCCTGGAAGGTTTTACCCTGGCATTTTTCAGAAATAGCGCAGTTGTTTGGGATGATTACAGACAATCACTGCTTCCCAGAGACTGAACTGTGTTTAGCTCATTGACCAGCTGCTCCCCAGTGGCCGACCAGGGAGTGCACAGCTGGTATTGCTGTTTACCAAGTGTTGGATCTTATAAGATCCACGAAGTACTCACCTCAGGGCCTTTGGAGAGACTGATGGGACGGGATGGATTGTGAAGGGAAAACCAAAGCACTTTTGTGGGAGGAGAGTGTGGTTGATGGTAGAACATTCCGAAGGAAGAACAAACCTGACAGCAGCCTCACCCAACACTCTGTTAAGGCACAAATGTCTCTTAAAATCTGTGTTTGGAATGAACGAATATTAAGAAGTCAAAGGAGATCATCTAAACTGAGAGGAGAAATCCTCCTTGGAAATCTCAGAGTCTCCACTAAGGCAGCCACCAGCCATGTGTGGGTACTGAGCATTTGAAACGTGGCAAGTCCAAATGAGATGTGATGGAAAATACATGATTTCAAAGACTTAGTACAAAAAAGGAATATATTTCTTTAATTTTTGTGTTGACTACAATTTGAAATGATAATATTTTAGATATGTTAAACAAAATATATTGTTGAAATTAATTTTACTTGTTACTTTTTGATTTTTTGATTGTGCCCACTGGAAAATTTTCAATTACAGGTATAATTACATCACATTATATTTCTATCAGACAGCACTGCTTTAGAACTTCATGTGGAATTTTATCCCTATTCACGACTCCAGTTAATGTTTATCTCCACTTTATGCCTTGATTTCAGTGATCCCAGGATGTTAAAAATTGATTCTTATCCAACACTTTTTCAACCCTTCAAGACTTTTCAGCAAATTCAGAGGAATTTGCTCTGGCTGCTCACTTTACCTAGGATACTCACTCCCCAAGACCTTCTCACAAATGGCTCCTTTTCGACTTTCTGATCTCTTCCCAAATGCTCTCGAGAGAGAGAGAGAGAGGTTTGCCCTTGCCATGAGTTGGCCACATCAACCTGTTCTATTCTCTTTATAGCACTTGTGTGTCTTGTCTGCCTTCCCAACTGTACTGTGAGCTCCATGAGAGAGTCTACCTTGATCATCACTCTGTTTCCTGCACTCAAAACATCGCCTCACTCATAGCTGGTCCTCAGTAAATATTTCCCAAATGGCGAAGTGCATTAAACTTTCTAAGTGCAGATACAAGTGCCTTAGATCTGATTAAGATTGTTTAAACTGTGTTCCACCTCGATGCCCTTCATTCATCTCCTTGTCTGCCTTCCCAACTGTACTGTGAGCTCCATGAGAGAGTCTACCTTGATCATCACTCTATTTCCTGCACTCAAAACATCGCCTCACTCATAGCTGGTCCTCAGTAAATATTTCCCAAATGGCGAAGTGCATTAAATTTTCTAAGTGCAGATACAAGTGCCTTAGATCTGATTAAGATTGTTTAAACTGTGTTCCAACTCGATGCCCTTCATTCATCTTATCCTAAGTGAGCACTGCTGTGGGCCAGCCACTGTGCTGGACACTGGGATGTGGTACAGATGTCCTGGTCTCTGCCCTTAGGGGGCTCAGGACTTAGTAGGTTCCAAAGACAAAAATGTCACAAACAGGGTTGTCCTATGACTGCCATGACCCTTTTGTTTCATTTCACTACGGGTCTCTGCCCTTAGGGGGCTCAGGACTTAGTAGGTTCCAAAGACAAAAATGTCACAAACAGAGTTGTCCTATGACTGCCATGACCCTTTTGTTTCATTTCACTACGTATACTGCTAAGGAAATAACCCAGCAGAGGTGGAAACAAGGTAACCTCAAAGCTCAGGTTCCCTGGTTACCAGTAGCTGCAGATGGTTGTTGAAAAGACAACCTCTTTGTGCTCTTTGGTTTCTGAAAAACAGATTAGCCATTCCAAAGAACTGTGATTATGGGCAGGATTGGGACATGTATTTCTAGCTGTGGAAGACTCTAAATGAGAAGATAGTTTGAGACCAAAGGGCACATGTTTTCAGAGGTTTTTAAGGAAAGACAAACCTGTTAATATATCGTTAGGTTACAAAAACAAGTTCTAGACCAATATGTAGAACAGATGCTCATTTTCATTTATAAATACCCTATAATATGTGGGGAAAAGACAAATACATTCCAAACGGTTAAACTTGGCTACCTCAGGCTTATAGAAAAAAGTGGGATAATAAGGAACTACCTCAGGCTTATAGAAAAAAGTGGGATAATAAGGAACTGTAAGTATTTTCTTCTCATATCTCCTTACTGTTTTATTTGTTACAATAAACATGGATAGATTTTTGTACTTTCAAACACGAAAAAGTAGTTTTTATAAGAAAAATTTTAAAAGAAGCACCATGAAGCTTCCCTGTATTTCTTAGGGTCTACTTCTCACATCTTGAATTTTTTCATCTCCGTTCTGTACTTCAGCTGCTAAAGCAAAGATCAGCTTCCAGGCTGGTGATCAAAAAACAGGAAGCAAAGATTGAGCTCAATTCTAGAGAATTTGATGATGTCATGCCTCCCTGAACACCAACCAAGCACACTCGTGTATCATGATGCTCTTGCAATAGTTAGAACTTCCTTAACCTCTTAAATTGGGAAGGTACCCTTTATTGAAAGCCCCTGTTATAAACGAGGTAATTTGTTTACATCAACCCATTTTATTCTCCAATCAGCCCTTAAAAGGTATGTATTATTATCCTCACTTAACAAATGTAGAAACTGGGGTTCTGGGAAGTTAGAAGAATTGCCCAAGGTCATGGGACTTGTAAGAGGAAGAGCCCAACTTTGAACCTTTCCAAACTTATGCTCATTCTACCACCATTTGCTAACTCTTTTTAAAGGATAATGGATAATGATGTGTTTTGCAACTGGTTCCATAGCTGAATTAAACTCTATTCTTAAAGGTGGCCTAATTCTAGGCACCTGGGAAAGACTTCTGTTATCCAAAAGCATCTCCCTAACTAGCCTTCCTTGGTGCCTGATAGTCCACCAATAGGATCTGTCCCACCGGGTAGGGCATCACATCCCCCAAGATCCACTCTCCAGGTAAATAGACACTTAGAAATGGGTTACATGTAACATCATTATAAGTCACAAACACCATCATGTGAATTAGTTATCAGGGAAATACATCTAGCAAGCTGCCAAGAGAATGAGACATGGGGTCAGTAAGATTTGATGGGGAGGATGGAAGAGGGAAAGAAGCTGCTATCTAGGGCCCAAGCCTAACGTTCTTTAAGTGCAATTTACTCATGATTTGGAGCCAAGGGTTGCCATCCTTGGTTACAAATTGCTTGGAGGTTCTGAGGTAAAAAGCCTCAGACTTTACAATCTGAGAACTATCTGGAGTTGCACTGTCCAGTACAGTAGCCCACTAGCCACATGTGGATGCTTACATTTAAATGCAAATTAATTAAAATTAAATGGTATGAAAAACTCAGTTCCTCAGTGACCCTGGCCACATTTTTAGGGATAGTTCTAGAGCAGAGTCAGGAAAGTCCTACCAGCGTGTCAATGTGGGACCGTGAATAACTAAGGGACAAGGAAAAGCCAATTGCAGAAAAGAAAGGTGCCACTAATGGTATTCATCACCATCCAGGCCAAGCCATAGGTCCATTACTATGATAACAAGGTCATGGATGGACATAGAGCTGAGAAAATTGGCATATTTATACTTTATTTCCCATGCATTGCACTACCCATCCTAGGTATGAGTTCTGCAAATGCTGCCATTCATCTCAAGGGCACTGGCATATATGGCACTGTGACTCAATGAATGGAAGTCAGTCACCCATCCAGAAGATGATTCAGAGGGCATGCTCTCTAGGAATCTGCTCAGAGTGTCTTTCGCAGGCACTAAGAGCCAGGAGACAGCTTCTGGATATCTGGTTGAGGGTGGGGGTTGGCAGTTGGCTTACAAAGCTAATGGATCTTATCTAACAATGTATTTCTAGAAGCAATCTGGAAAAAAAAATATTGTCTTCACTCTTACTTAAATGGGATGTGTTTTTCTTCCCACAGAAAAAGCGCACGTTGAAGGGCTCCATTGAACTCTCCCGAATCAAATGTGTCGAGATTGTGAAAAGTGACATTAGCATCCCATGCCATTATAAGTACCCGTTTCAGGTAAGTTCATTAGGACAAAGATACATAGTTCCCCATTCCCTGGACCATGGTTAAAGTTCTTGGTCACTGTGAGAAGAGGTGGGAAAGGGATGACTCTGGTTCAGGCTTGGAACTCAGACTAAGTCGGTAAGAAAATTTACGTGATCTTTCAATCAATGACATCCATTCGTTCATTCATTCATTCAACAAAGAATAAGCACAAAATCTTGAAAAAGTTGTTATTCCTCTTTTTCCTTTCCCTCATATCTTCCCTACCTTAAGGAAAGTCCTAATTACTCCGCTTCTGGGGGAAGAAAAGAAGCTGCTATCATGTTCTTTGAGATTTACTTATGATTTGGAGCCACAGGTTACCATCCTTGATTACAAACTACTTGGAGGTTCTGAGGCAAAAACGCTCAGATTTCACAATCTGAGAACTATCTGGAGCTGCACTGTCCAGTACGGTAGCCACTAGCCACATGTGGATATATTTAAGTGCAAATCAATTAAAATTAAATCATATTAAAAATTCACCTCCTCAGTCACCCCAGCCACATTTCATGTGTTCAACAACCACAGATTATAGAATATTTCCATCACTGCAGAAAGTTCTATGGGACAGAGCTGGCAGAGGGTATCTTTAGAATCTTTATCCTGTTTACCAGTCTTGTCATTTATGGCTCCAAAGGAATGGATATCTCCTTGTGCAGCCCAGAGTACCATTCTTATTTGCCATCCTGAGGGGTAAATATTCCATTTTTAACGTGGCATAGAAAAGAACATTTTTCTACAAGAAAAGTGACCCCCATGAGTTGAAATTTTTAGGACTGAAAATAAAAGGAATGACAAGTAATTTCCCAGTTGTTAAAATCCCAATTACAAAGGAGTGCATGAAAAAAACTGGTGAAGTTCAAAAGAGGTCTATAGTTAATATCACTGTACCAATGTCAATTTCCTGGTTTTGAAAATGTGCTATGGCTATGTAACATGTTATCATTAGGAAAAGGTGGGTGAAAAGTACATAGGAACTCTGTATTATTTTTGGAACTTCAAACTATTTCAAAATAAGGTTTTAAAAATCCCAATTATACACTTGCCCTCAAATCTCTTACTCTTTCATATGCCAGAAAGATTTTTTAAATCACTGAAAAATTAAGATGAGAAATAAATGTGCTTTCTAGTCAAGAGGAGAACTTTCCTTTGCTGTTTTAACTTAGTGATTACTTACTGGTGGCATGGAATCTGAGACGAGCACCCAAGCTGCTCACCCTATGTTTGCATAGCATGCAAATGTCTGGATAAAAAAGACATTTGTCCTCTAATCACTCAGATGTTTGCCTGTATGATGACAGACACCTGAGACCCCGCCCTCGGCCCAGTAGGCCAGATGGACCTGCTGTCAGTCACCCACCTCCAGGCACACTGCTCACCTTGAACTCTGTGTGTGTGTTGCCAGGTCGTGCATGACAACTACCTCCTGTATGTGTTTGCTCCAGACCGCGAGAGCCGGCAGCGCTGGGTGCTGGCCCTTAAAGAAGGTAATTAAACTTCTGTGCCACTGAGTCACTGAGACCCTTGATCCTTTAGGAGGCTTGGGTTCCATGATGGAATAGAGTGTGGTTTGAGAGCAGCCAATGGCCAAACATTTCTCTTTTTTGGTGTTGGTGGAAGGTCCCAAGTTTTCACCCTGGGCTCAAGAGGCAATGACCAGTATAGTTCAGGGATTGGCCAAATCCCAACTGCTGCTTGTTCTTGTAAAGCTCCAAGCTATATTTTTATATGGCTCATTTTAAATGATTATATAAATACCTACATAATACTCTTGATTTTGTCTCACGGCCAGCAAAACCTACTATATTTACTGTCTGTCCCTTTAAGAAAAAGTTGCCCACTCCTGGTATAGTGTGAAGAATTAGAGCATGTACCCTCGAGTTAGGTGACCTGGGCTTACGTCCCACCTACTGTGTCCACTTGGGTACTGTCTGTCCCTTTAAGAAAAAGTTGCCCACTCCTGGTATAGTGTGAAGAATTAGAGCATATACCCTCGAGTTAGGTGACCTGGGCTTACGTCCCACCTACTGTGTCCACTTGGGCAACTTCCTTAACTGCTCTGTGCTTCGGCTTCCCCATCTATTAAACAAGGGGATAGGAGGATAACAGTGCCTGCCTCCAGATCTGGTGTGAGTAACGTCCTGAGAACTGGGCTGGGCTCGTCCACACTCAGTAAAGGTCAGCTAGCTGTAAAGTATTTCAGACCATCAGCAAGGGTGCTTCTCAAGTCTTGCCTTTCTGATAGCGTAATTAGAACCAGCACAGTGTTTAAGCATGTGGAATGTGGAGCCAGGCTGCCAAGGTGAAAATCCCAGCTCTGCCAGTAATTACCGTGTGACCTTGGATAAGTTCCTTGACCTTCATGGGTGTCTCCATTTCCTCAGCTGTAAATTTTGACTGAAAACAGTCATAGTTGTTGTGAGAATTAAATGAGTTAGGACATGTAAGGCACTTAGGACAATACCCATCCAAAAGAAAGCACTCGATCAGTATTACTGTTACTGTTCTTTAGCGTGAAGCATTGGATGTAGCAGGAGATCTGGGCTCAAATAATTATCTGTTGCTAAGTAGCTATGAGGACCAAGGATAAGCAAGCCATATGATTCCGTAGAGCCATGACTTCTCTATCTGAAAAATGAGAATAAAAATACAAGTCATATCTTCTCCCAAGGTTCTCGTGAGCTTCAAATGGGATATGAACAGGCAAGTGCTGGGTAAACTGGAAAGTGCTCTAAATATAACAGTCACAGGACATAGAACAAACTCTAAAGTAAAAGTAACCAAAAGGGCCCCAGCTGTGTCCATTGGCCGTTCTCCTGCTGTGACGGCATTTGACACACAGGATGTTGGAGCTGGAAGGAGCATTAGAGATTAATTATCTCGTTCTGCGGTTTTTATACATTTTTTTTTCCATAGTAGAGTCCCCCTTTTTTTCCATACCCAAATCTTACTTCAAAACCACAGATTTAGAAGAATAAAAGCCAAGTTTCTGTGGTTGAAGGTAGAAAGGGTGGGGAGGCAGGAATTCCATCCTCTCAACCACACCATTACACATAAGTGACCTTGGTGAAGTCCTCTGATCCAGTGTCACAACCTCATTGCTTAGTTGGGGAAACTGAGGCTCTGGTGAGGGTCTGCCCAACCTGAGAACATGCAACTAACCCAAAACAGAGCCATGCCAGAATCCAGATCTGCTCATACCTAAGTCTAAAATGCACTCCCTCAGTAAATAGCACACTGAATTTACCTGCCCAGGTAAAAGCCATTTTTCTGATTATTCCAAGTTATAGTCACTCAGGCTTAGCAAGGTCCAGTCTCAGGGAGTTATAAAGTTGGTGGGCCTCGATAGACTGACCTGGAACTAAATCTTCTGCCCATCCCAACCCCTTTCAGAAACAAGGAACAATAACACCTTGGTGTCCAAATATCATCCTAATTTCTGGATGGATGGGAGGTGGAGGTGTTGTTCTCAGCTGGAGAAGCTTGCAGTGGGCTGTGCCCACTATGATCCGACGAAGAATGGTAAGAGACTGGGAATTCCTTTTCTTTGTAAAATGATCATAAAAGAATAAGAACTCTTAGCTTCCCATCATCAGGGTCTCAGGGATTGAATGCAAAATTCTACATTTTCAGAGGGAAATCATCTGTCTTTTCTACCAGTCTGTTGATGCTTTCTCATGTCAGAGCTATGTCTTTATAGCTCCTGACTCCTCAAAGTGTGGTCCTTGGACTAATATCACCAACATCACCTGGGAGCTAGTTACAAATGCAAATTCTCTGGCCCCACACAAGATCTACTGAATCAAAATTTGCATTTTAACAAGATCCCCAAGAGATTAGTATGCACAATGAAGTTTGAAGAGCATCGCTATAACATTCATGTTAGGAAATTTGAGTGGCATCATCTACTTAAATCTTACATTGTAGAGACAGCCTTAAAAGATGCATGATATTATTTACTTGTTACAATGGCAACACATCATACATGTGTTTAATTACACAAATTTAACTATATACACTTGAGGGGGAGGAAATTTTTTAAAAAACAAAAAAAACCTCCTTGTTTTACTCTGTGACTTCTCCCCACATTCCCTTCAAACTTGACCTTGACATTCACGGTCTCAGAGAAAAGAAAGCCACATTCTAAACACAAAGTGACAGCAAAAGTCGTTTCTTGCTGGGCCTTTGAGGTTAAAGGCTCAGGTCCTTGGGGATTGAACTGCAACTCATTTTTACCTTATGTGACAACTTTGGGATGTTAACCTCCAGTAAAGTGCCATTCCACTCATGCACTTTCACATTCGTTGTACCCTGTTCCTCACAACCGTCTGGGGTAGGTGGTGTGATCGCAAGAAATCTTAAAGAAATGGATGACCTCAAGCAATTCAGTCTGCTCAACATCACACGCTGGGAAGAGTTCTGCAAATCCATTGTTGAATAGGATTGCTGGCCCATGTGAATTGTTCTGCTTCCATTTTCTCCTCTCTACTTCTCCCCGTAGTTACCTTTTCTCCTCTGCCAATTTCTTTTCTGCACTAAAACTTAATACCTCAGATTGACAGTATAAGGCGGATGTAACATATGGCTGGGTTTTCTGTGGCTTCCTGAGTCACAGCCCCTCTCAGTACCATGTTCAAAACCACCACTTCTCACCCTGCTCCTTGCAAAAGTCCTTCAACGTTATCAGTCCCTGGGTCCAATTTTAGAAGTCGGTGATCCTCCACCTTAGCCCTGTTGACCATAATCACCAAGGCCAGTATGTAATGAAAAAGAATGGAAGGTTTTATATGGGTGGAATCTACCGCAGTAACAGGATGGCATGGGCTTGCCTCAAGGAGTGAAAGCTCTTTCCAAAGCCAGAGATCTGGTCTCCAAATTCCTGACAGCAACTTGCTGTGGGCCCTCAGATGGATGAGTGACTTGGCCATCAAAGGCCCTAATGTCCTCATCTCTAAAATGGTAGGGCAGCACTGGCCTGTTAGCTCAGTTTGTTAGAACATGATGCTGATAACACCAACATCCCGGGTTCCATCCATATACTGGCCAGCTGCCAAAAAATAAATAAAAATAAAAAATAAAATAAAATAGTAGGGCATATCTTAGGGGCTTAAGATGAGATACTGTCTAAGACCCCTTCCAATTCTGATATTCTTTGAATCTGTTTCCATTTTGCAGTTTTCACCATGGGTGTCATGTCTATTCCTCTTTGGGGTGCACAGTTTTTCCCTCCAATGAGTGGTTAACACATGACTGAGGTGTTAGGAGCATTTGCATGACTCACTAGAACTCTGCTTGGGGAGGGCTGGTCATGTTGGGCTCTTCTCCATGTGAACCCAGGGCTAACCCCTCTCAGTCACTTCTACGGTGGGCCATGCACTGCCCCCGCTGGTGGTTTAGCTTTTGCACTGCAACCCACTGCTATCTCTCCCTCAAAGCATCTCCTCACTTCATCTTCTTCTGACATGGTTAAATAACCTCATGCATCATAGTTATGACACAATTGGAGGTCAGAATTTTCAAGAAGCACCCTGTGCTGTGAACACAGCATGTGTTCCTGGTGTTGGGCATATTGACAGTGCACAGTCTATGAGCACAGGGTTTTGGAGTAAAAAACATCTGGGGTGAGTCCCAGCCCCATCACTTCCTTGCTGTGTGATTTCATACATGTTACTTAACCCCTCTGATCCTCAGAGTGAGTTTCTTCATTTGTGAAATGGGGATAATGATAGTAGGTAGCTTTATCATGGGGTTGTTGGGAGATTCAGTGAGGTTGTGGAAAGCTCTTAGCACTGCTGCTGGCACTTAACGAGTTCTCTGTAAATGTTGATTGTGTCTACTCATCTTTCTTATTTGTGGGTGAAAGAATCTGAGGCTGAGATGTAGCAGTACGTGTGTGTGTGTGTGTGTATCTGGGAAGCAGCATAAGCAGTTGCATAAAACTTATTTGTGGGTGAAAGAATCTGAGGCTGAGATGTAGCAGTACGTGTGTGTGTGTGTGTGTGTGTGTGTGTATCTGGGAAGCAGCATAAGCAGTTGCATAAAGATGGACCCTGCTATACCACTTATAGCAACACCCATTTCTGCAAACAGAACTGGCCTTGATCTCACCATGTGCCAAATTCATATAGAGGGAGAGGAAGGAAGGGAAGAAGAAAAAGAGACAAAATGTCCAGGCTGGAAGTGGCCCAAGGCTGGGGTTAGAACACCAGACTCCTGGCTCCTAGTTGAGTGTTAAGTGGGAACCATACTTCTCATGATGTGCACCCAAGTCAATACCCCAGCTTGCCCTTGCTTAAGAGTCAGCACAGGGCTGGGCTCCAGTGTCAATGTGTGAATCTCTGCCACATTCCTGATGTGGCTGCCCAGCCCCAAGTCAACTTCATACAGAGACAAGGACCTCACACCTACCTGTGCAGCCCATCCCCTTCTTATCTCTAATTATTGAAGAATTCTTTGTGTTAAGCTGAAGCCTGTGAAGTGCCTCCCATACCACACATGCTTCCAGACACACAGACATCTGACTTTGGTCCATTGATTCCAGGCCGGACCTTTGCAGTGCCACAAAGGAGAAATAGTGAAAGATGGAGATGAAGAGATGAGAGGGAGGAGAGAGGGAAGAGAGGAGAAAGGAAGAAAGAGGGGTGAGACAGAGAGACCTAAAGAGAGGGAGACATGGAGACAAAAAGAGATAAGCAGAGAGAGAGAGAGCGGGAGAGAGAGAGAAGTCGGGGGCATGTAGTTTGGGGGAGGCTGCAAGAACACATACTCAGATGCCTTGAGGCAACTAAAAGTGTATGCCAACCTGCTCAAAAAGCAACACAGAGACCTCCCACCTTCCCCACCCCCTCCTCAAGCCCACAACAGCATCAGGAAGCCAGTGAGTCACTGTCCCCTTGAGTCACCAATTCCCACTCCTGGGCTGAGCAGGTGGCAGATACATTCGTGGAAGTCTCTTTGCCTACGGGGAAAGGCACAGTCAAATTCCTCCATCAGGCTTCTCTTGGGAATACAGAAAGAGAGGGCCCAGACTATTGACTTCCGGAAGTTTCTGATGTCTCCTAGAAAAAGCAACAGGGAGCCAGCAGACTGAGAGAGATAAAAGACAGGTTCCAACAAGGCCGATTTTTGTTTCTCAGAGTTTCACCGTCTCCTGCTGGCCCCTTTTCTCCGAAAAGCCCCCTGGCTGCTTACCTCTGGTTGGGCCCTTTGGGTTTCATGTTCATTTTCTTTCTTTTTTTTTTTTTTGTTTTGTTTTGTTTTTCTTGTTTCAGCTTCAAAGAAGCCTCTTCCTCCTACTCCTGAAGACAACAGGGTGAGTGAGAGTGCATTGCGGCGCAGGTGGCCCCCATGCTGCAGGCCCCCGACCAGCCAGTAGTTCCAAAGACCAGGTGATTCGGCTGAACTCAGCACATTGGGTATCTCAGGCCTGCACTGTCTTGTGGGTCTGTCCACTTAAAGGACACCTCAGCTGCTAAATCTCCACCTTACTTTATACACTCAACAAACACTTATTGGTATCAAATGTGTGTCCCACCACCAGAGCATAATAACGGCTCACAGCTGTATAAAATGGTGTGTTTTCTCTATGCCTTGATGTATGAGGGGTCTTCAAAAAGTTCACGGAGAGATTTGTACTAGCTCTCAATTTCATTTTTCTGTGAATTTTCTGAAGTACCCTCGTACAAGACTTTGGAGACATACTTTTGATAAAGTTTTGTAAAGTTTCATGCTTTACAAATGTGTATTTCAAAGCACTTCCACACTTTTACGCTCTATTTTAGAACTTACTACCTGTTATATTCACTTCACAGGGTTATAGTTTTATTCTCACTTCAAAGCTTGTAAAACTGAGTCCCAAGGGAGGTCTTGAGACTTTCCCAAGGCCATTCAGCAATTTCGTAGGATACAGGGTTTCTGGTGCGGTGGTCTTTAACTCCTGCAGTGGTTCTCAAAGTGCGGTCCCTGGACCAGTAGCATCAGCATCACCTGGGAGGTTGTTAGCAATGCACATTCTCAGGACTGCTGCATCCAAACTGCTGGGGGAAGGGCCCAGTAATCTCATTTTAACAAGACTTCAGGTGATTCTGAGGTACATTCAAGTTTGAGAACTGGTCTATAATACACTGATTTACAAGACTTAGATGGTATAGTATCTACTCTGGAGAAGCTTATTCGGTTAAGACAACCAAAAAAAGAAAAAAAGACATGGGAAGGATCAGCCCTCACCTTATGTTCATATTAACACCAACACTCACGTTTGAGGACTTGCCCTTTATTCCAGAACCTACTGATTCTGCTTCCTCATGCTTCTTCCTGAAGAATGAGCTCTGCTTTTTCTCCCTCCAGCCAACATGGTGATATTTCAAAACTGACACCTTTCCCATAAAGAAAGCTATAAATCCTCAAAACCTTTGGCGGGTTTTTAGATCTGTCATCAGCCTACTCCCCCACGACAGGGAAGAAACGCGTGAACTGCAGCAGAACACAAGCTCTCATTTTCTTTTCTTCCACTGACCTTCGGAAGACTTCCACCATCTTCCTTGAAGTCAGGGTTTGGAATCCCGCTGCTCCTGCTTGCAGTTGGTTTTCTCAATGGTCCCACCAAAACCCACACCACTCTACTGAAGTCAGTCTGTTCTTCTCCTACTGTCAGTAACAATGAAGGTGAAAGCCAGAGAACGCTTCCTGATCTCTCCTTGGACTCTACCAGGAATCCCGCTGCTCCTGCTTGCAGTTGGTTTTCTCAATGGTCCCACCAAAACCCACACCACGCTACTGAAGTCAGTCTGTTCTTCTCCTACTGTCAGTAACAATGAAGGTGAAAGCCAGAGAACGCTTCCTGATCTCTCCTTGGACTCTACCATTCGGCTTTTCAGACTTCTTGGAGGAGCAGCGTTGATACTGTTATGAGCATTCTGACCCCAGGGGTTTGGAGATCATTGCTCTAATTTCAGCCACATATCTGAATCCATTGCAACGTTTCTCTTACTCTGAGTCGGTTGAAGTCATTTCTGTTAACTGAGGGGTAATGACATCTCAGGTTGACCTATACAGAAGCTGTATTTTTAATTCAGTCTGAGCCAATAGGCTTCACTGTGTGTGAGAAAGACTGTGAAGCAGGGTCTGTCCTCCAGAGGGGGAGGGCAGCTGTTTTAGGTCAAGACAAAGAATATCCATGATCAGAGTAACTGACAGCCCCAGGCCTCTCTAGCATGTGGGTGCAAATAAGGTCATGTTTTACACTAAGGTCCAAATTTCAATTCTTCTTGGGCACCCTGAACCCATGGGAGCTTAGCCCTTCCTTTAAGGCCCCTCCCAGTCAAGCCAGTGGGTTTCCTGAGGGGCCACTCGGGAATGTGCCTGTGTCCTTTCTCCCTGGCTCCTTGTTAAGGCACCTATTTCTTCCACTGCTACTTGGGCTCCCTGTGACAGCCCCTCTCAGCCCAGTGAGCTCTCCCCTGCTATGGCCAGGTTAGTTCCAAGGCCTGCAGTAGAGTGGCTGGGAGGGGGGACCTTCATCCACTCCAGGCCTCACCTCTTCATCTAGGCCCCCAGGCAGCCCTTCTTGAGCCCACAGACTCTAAGTTTCTCCAAATGCCATTCCTTGATTTTCTCACTCTAATCAAGTGGTTCCCAAGCCTATCGGACCCAAAGCTCCCTTTTTATGACTAATATTTTGTAAAGCTCTCTTTGTTGTCCTGAAAACAAATTCATAAATAATACAACTTATGTGAACACATACTTTTTAAGAGTCAATAAATACTTTAACTTTAATATTTTAAAAGAAAGACAATTTATATAACATGATATGTGTTTCTATACATTTGTTGGGGTATCACTGTGCTGGAAAATGCAATGAAACAGTTAATTGCTTGCACTTGTAGGTAGAAACCCGTTGAATTTGGCAGCTCAAATGGAACTGATACAGGCATGTTTTGTCGATGACTCAAATGCAGTGTTACCATCTGTGATATGATTTTCCAAATGGTGAACAACTCTCGGTAAAGTTCTGAACTAAATAAAGGGTAATCTTCCCTCAATGTACAAGGTAGTTGTATTCCTGGGAAACCTAGTACTTTGTACAGAGTAGAAGTAGAATCTAGGGTCAGGATCTTTTTACAATTATAAGCAGGTTTCCTCAACACGTGAATGTCTAAAAGGACATTTAAAAGTTGTATGGGATGTGGGACCCTGCAGAACTTTTTGCATTCTTGACTCTCACCCACTAAATGCCTCCAACTTTGTGACACTCAAAATACCCCCCTTGATGTTCAATGTGCCCTCTATAGAAAGGTACCACCATCATTTGAGAAGCCTGGTCTGACCTTTCTCTTCATGGGGATTAATCAGTGAGCTGACCTGCAGTGAGAGTGCCATGCTATGGATCTCCTTCCTCCGGGTGCCCTTGAACACCATTCCTCCCTCCATTAGCTCTTAGAGCAAGAGCCTCAGCTCCATGTACTCGTATCTGTAGCACCCCATACACCACCTCCTCACAAGCTCCACAAATATCTAGACTTCAAATTCCAATCCGGGCTCAGCTGGGATGACATGCTACATCAGCATGACAAGACTTTTTTTTTTAAGTTCCAGTATTTTTATGCCACCAAATGCTTGCATGTACTCAGAAAACTCGTGACCACCCACTACTGAATTACATTCTAGCCAGCAACTCAATCTTTCTACAACTCACTCTCAGAAAACCTGCCAGCCCGTAGAACATATGCCCATCCTGAACTCTAGTGATGGTTTGCATTACAGTCTTTTCTTCACGTCCTCAATATCTCATCCTAAGGAAGGTACTGACGAGCAGAGATATAGGCAAAACAGAGTCTGTAAGAGAAAGAAGGGAGCCCATGTGCTGTAGTGGAGAGAGCAATAAGACTAATAGAATTGCTAGATAGGCCTTGTCAACTTTCCTCTCTGGGCCTTGGTGTCCCTATTCTAAATGAAAGCATGGATTAAAGTATCTCTCAGAGGAATTCCAGCTCTAACAGCCTATAATTCTAGGGATCTGGACAAACCCACAAACCAAATCAGCAAAGCATGGACTGAGTGATTTAATGCTGACTGCATCTTCTTTGCCAAGAGTGTGTTGCTCTGGTAGAGAAGCTACAGCATAAGACATGGTGCAGGTGGAGAAACCATCAGGCTTGTGGTTGAAACCAGCGCTGCAATTCACTGTGGTTAGAATTGACCTCATAGAATGAGAAAGGTGATGAATTCCAGGTACTGATGTCTTTGTGTGGTATTCAGCACCATAATTCTAACTCATAAAGAAAGCTGACTAGAGAAAGCAGGTGGTCTCCACAGATACCCCAGTGGAACTGGTGTGTTGACCTGGCATGGATCCAGGAGCAAATGACAGCTCAGGGACTCACTGACCTTGCTTGGCATGTCACCTCCTCTTTATGTCTTTGCTTCATTTTGTTGTCTCCCCTCCCCAGCGCTCACTTCAGGAACCTGAAGAAACCCTGGTCATTGCCTTGTATGACTACCAGACAAGCGATCCCCAGGAGCTCGCCCTACAACGCAATGAGGAGTACTACCTACTGGACAGTTCTGAGATTCACTGGTGGAGAGTTCAGGACAGAAATGGGTAAGGTATCTTGGTGGCTGCCATCCCCTTGTTTCAGGTGTGGTGGGGACAAAGAGAATGCAGAATGATTTGTCTTACCTCCCTTAGCATGCCCACTGCACTAAAGTTAAGAGAGGGCAGCAGAGGCAGAAGGAAGAGAGAGGAAGAGAAAGCCATTGAAGCAGGTCTTTCCTCTTCTCAGAAGTGGCTGGGAGGCTGGCTCCCTGCACCCCATTTCAAGCCCTCCCAGCCCCAAATGCATCTCAAAATCCCCCGGGTTTTTCCGCTGACATCCACAGTTTGGCAGATTGGCAACTTGTTCTGCAAAGCACAATTGTTGAGTGTCTAAGTGAGGCTGAAGGTACATCCCACTGTGAAGTGCTTACTTTTGGTGGAAAGAAAAGGTCTGTAGAGATGGTGCCCATTAGCGGTTACATTAGGAAGCATCAGAAAGAAGATACTTCAGACTTAGTTACAATCACAATCATTGTACTACAGCCATCCAAATGACTCATGGAGAAAATAAGGTTGTACAAATACCAATTGCCCACTATGAGATTTTTTAATTAAAAAAATCTTATGAGCCCTTTTCTAATCTGAAATACAACAAAATTATTGTTATTAACCTTCATAATGCTCTGGGATGTATATGACTTAGATACTAGTACCTAGTTTAAATGTATGAGAGTCGCTCTGCCTTATAAAGCTTTATTTTTTCCTTTTAATATATCAGAAGTATTTAACCATGCCTTGGAATATCCTCCAGAATATGGTTTCAATGATTGCACAATCCAACACATAAATGTACCCTAATTTAGCAAATTCCCTTGTTAGGCACTTGAGTTGTTTCCAATATTTTGCAAATATTAATCACACTGTAATAAACATTCTTGTATATTAATGCTAATGGTTTAAATGTTTTTAAAGTATAATATTATTGTTAATTTAAAAATATAAAAAAGAAAAAGAAAACATTTTATCATTGCAACATTTGGGTAGCCTCTGTCAATACCTTACTTTTTAAAACAACAAATAGAGAGAATATACATAAAAAAATAAGCCACCCTTTGTTTACCCTTTACATCAATTCCAAAAGTAATCACTATTAATACTTTCTTATGTATCTTAGAAAAAAAACCTATACACATATGAATGGATCCTTTTTTCTACTAAGGTGATCCATTCTGTTCTTCGCGTTGCTTTTAACTTTTAATGATTTTTCTTGGACATCTTTTTCAGCACATATAAATCTACCTTGTTTTAAACATAATTGCGTATTTTAAACATAATTGCATAGTATTAGAATATAATATTAAGTTATAAATATTTTAATAATCTTTTATGGTTGGAGTTTCCCAGTGATTTGTTTTCTTTGTTATTTCAAACAAGGCTACAATGAAGATTTGTCTTGTTCCTATATCTTAGCAATCTTTTGAATAGATCAGTGGTTGAGAAATCACATTTTCAACTGTGAAACCGTAGAGTCAGAGTATGTGATATCTTTTTTTTTTTTTTTTCCTTTTTGTCTTTTTTCGTGTCCGGCAACGGACCGCAACCCTCAGTGTCACGCCCGTACCGGACCGGGACCGGCAATGGGATCGCAACCCTCGGTGCTGCGCCCGCCCCTCGCTCAGCCAGTGAGCAGGAACCGGTCTGTATGTGGGATCCGAACCCTCGGCGGGAGCACCGCCATGCTCCCACCCCGCGCAGTGTAGCAGTGTGCCACTGGGCCGGCGCGTGGCGTGT